ACTGTTGTTTCTGAGAGCCACATCAGTTAGCCGCAGCCAAATCTGGAGTTCACACCTATTCAAGTATTTACGGTAAATGCTCCCACACGGAGCAGCTCGTTGCTCTGCTGTTATCAGCTGCTGTTTCAACAAAAACGCCATTCAGGGTGAAAATTCAACCGTGGTGTTGTGTCGGGAGATGCAGTGACTTCAACAGCGGTGAGTATTATGAATAATACATGTAATCTGTTAAGCTATGAGGAGAGTAAAAGTCCGTTACCCGCTAGGCTAATTTATGTAGTGCTAACATCATATAGGCTAAAGCTCTTAAGCTAGTGGTGTTGACTAACAAACTAATCTTAACAGTTACCATTAAGAAGAATTTTATGCGTCTGTTAAATGTGATTGCTATTAAGCCGTGTTTTATGTGTGGTGGTGAAGTCAATTTAAAGTTAACTTTACTGCACTTCACCAGTCGAAATGATTTAATGAAGGCTAACGTTAGTTACTGTACTTCTATGTCTTACACAGAAAACACAGGAGGAGGCATGCGGAGAACATAACCATATTCTTCAGAGGAAAAGAAGGAGGAGAAGGAGAGCAACAAATAACCCCAAAACAATAAAATAAATTTCTTTTATATTTCCCTGCCTTGTTTATGTGTACATACAGAGGAAGAATGACAGAACAGCACGCATTTCATCGTTACTGTGTGTTAGAGCATGGGAGAACAGTGGATACTTTTAATACAGCCCACACCTCTCATACTGTGTAACTATACAAGTAGAGAACAGAAGAAAAAGATGTTCTTTCTTTACAACTGTCTGCATAGCGTATTCATCTTGTGTAATGAATGAAAATGAATAGGCCTACGAGGCTCCTCTCTACTTTGACATTTAAGATTAGCTTGTTTGATCCACCTTTATACACATATGTGACATTACTGTACAACTTGAGAAAGGTGAGTTGTTTTCTGCTCCAGCCTGCCTAAAAGAAAGCATTTTTGGGATTAAATGGACTTTATTAACTGCTGCAGAGCAGCATCAACTCAGAACAGACACATTTCTCACCTTATTATTCTAAATCATGCAACGAAGAAGAAGAAATGCATAATAAATCCTGGGACAAAATCTGTCCACATTATGTAGTCTGATGAACAAGACTTGTGTTATAGCTGACTTGGGCAGTGAAACGTTTAATTTTTTTAATTCTACTTTGGTGCCTTGCTTCGTGGGCCCCTAAACAGAAGTGATGGAGATGTTGAACAAAGTCTTAGATGTCTCTTAAACTCTCCACTTGGTTCCAAAAAGGGTAATGTTAACGCAATTATTTAGCTTTGCAGTGTCAAAGGTGAAAGGTATTCATATTATTATAGAGACATCATAAGCAGTATTATTGGCATTTTAACATTTGAGTCTTTCTGTGCAATGGCCATGTGACGTACACACTGAGGGAACATGTATCACAGCAAATAAACACTCCTCTGAGCTCTTCCTCCTCCGTTTCCTCTTCATCTTCCTGCCGCTTCCTCTGTGTCTCCTCCTTCACCTCCTCCTCTGAGATGTGAATCTTCCTCCACAGCGACAGCTGTATGTATACACACAATCGTCTGAAACGACACACACTCACACTTAAGATTGAAAGCATGATGAATATGAATAGATATTATGATCATCACGGGGGTGGTGATGACGCAGTGGATAAGACACGTGCCGTTGGTGTGACAGACCCAGGTTCAACTCCCCACTGTGACACATCCATCAATGTGTCTCCTAGTTGCTCCAGAGGCGTACGACCTCTGACATATATAGCAACTGAAAGTCGCTTGGGTTTACAAGTGTCAGCTAAATTAATAAATGTAAATGACATTTAATACTAATTAAAGGGGAATATACACTAACTCAAGAAATATGACAAAAAGCCTAACATACAGTAGCTTAGTTTGAATGTAGTAGAGGAGTTGCGCTTTTAATTGGGTAGGTTTCATCATGTCAGTTAGCTGCAATGTAGAGTTAAAATGTAAGTTAAAATTGACAAGCTTTATTAACTGTTGTCATGGAAATGGTTAGAAAGATGGGAGAATCTGACAGAGCCAGAGGACTTCTTTGGCAGCCTAACAAGATCCACACAGAATAGCAAAAAATCAGTAAAGGTGGTACTGGTATATACATAACTGAAAATGATTAATAGTATACCAGATTTTTTGCACATTTACACTGTGACAGGCTACATTACTTTACATTAGGGCACTAGTATGATTTCATGTTTTACCTAAGGGCAGGGTCTGAAATGAAATACTGAAACTAATTAAGGGAACACTTAAATCACACATCAGATCTTAATGAGCAAAATAGTTCAAAATCTTTACTGTACACTGTAATTGCAATTCATTGAGAACAAAATGACACAACAACGGTTAGTTGGAACCAAAAATCACCAACAGACTGAGGGCTGGATTCAAAATCACAGCAAAAATCTAAGTAAAAACCTGAAATCACAGGCTGAGCCAACCTGCGTGACTTTTTCATCATATTGTAGATGGCGGATGGTGTCCTGAGGACCTGAGGCATCAGTGATCTTCTGTACAGTCTGTGGCGCACCTTGGCAGTGTCAGATGCAGCGACACATAACAGCCCAAAGGTTCTCAATTGTATTCAGGTCTGGGGAACGTGAGGGACAGTCAATGGCATCAATGCATTCGTCATCCAGGAACTGCCAACACACTCTGGCCACATGAGGCTGGTCATTGTCCTGCACCAGGAGGTACACAGGACCACTGCACCAGTGTAAGGTCTGACAATGGACGCATCCGAAAATTAAATTTGCTTAGGCAGGTTCCTAACTGAGTGAAGTGACCCGGATGTATTTTAGTGGTAGCCACAATAAGAACTGGTCGAATTCTCTAAAAGCTGAGGAAAGGAGCTGTGGTGTATAACATACAGTGGGTATGGAAAGTATTCAGACCCCTTTAAATTTTTCACTCTTTGTTTCATTGCAGCCATTTTCCAAAAAATCCCAAACCAAAAAAGTTCATTTTATTTCTCAGTAATGTACACTCAGCACCCCATCTTTACAGAAAAAAACAGAAATGTAGAAATTTTTGCAAATTTATTAAAAAAAGAAAAACTGAAATATCACATGGTCATAAGTATTCAGACCCTTTGCCGTGACACTCATATTTAACTCAGGTGCTGTCTATTTCTTCTGATCATCCTTGAGATGGTTCTACACCTTCATTTGAGTCCAGCTGTGTTTGATTATACTGATTGGACTTGATTAGGAAAGCCACACACCTGTCTATATAAGACCTTACAGCTCACCGTGCATGTCAGAGCAAATGAGAATCATGAGGTCAAAGGAACTGCCTGAAGAGCTGAGAGACAGAATTGTGGCAAGGCACAGATCTGGCCAAGGTTACAAAAAATTTCTGCTGCACTTAAGGTTCCTAAGAGCACAGTGGCCTCCATAATCCTCAAATGGAAGACGTTTGGGACGACCAGAACCCTTCCTAGAGCTGGCCATCTGGCCAAACTGAGCTATCGGGGGAGAAGAGCCTTGGTGAGAGAGGTAAAGAAGAACCCAAAGGTCACTGTGGCTGAGCTCCAGAGATGCAGTCGGGAGATGGGAGAAAGTTGTAGTAAGTCAACCATCACTGCAGCAATCCACCAGTCGGGGCTTTATGGCAGAGTGGCCCGACGGAAGCCTCTCCTCAGTGCAAGACACATGAAAGCCTGCATGGAGTTTGCTAAAAAACACCTGAAGGACTCCAAGATGGTGATAAATAAGATCCTCTGGTCTGATGAGACCAAGATAGAACTTTTTGGCCTTAATTCTAAGCGGTATGTGTGGAGAAAACCAGGCACTGCTCATCACCTGTCCAATACAGTCTCAACAGTGAAGCATGGTGGTGGCAGCATCATGCTGTGGGGGTGTTTTTCAGCTGCAGGGACAGGACGACTGGTTGCAATCGAGGGAAAGATGAATGCGGCCAAGTACAGGGATATCCTGGACGAAAACCTTTTCCAGAGTGCTCTGGACCTCAGACTGGGCCGAAGGTTTACCTTCCAACAAGACAATGACCCTAAGCACACCGCTAAAATAACGAAGGAGTGGCTTCACAACAACTCCGTGGCTGTTCTTGAATGGCCCAGCCAGAGCCCTGACTTAAACCCAATTGAGCATCTCTGGAGAGACCTGAAAATGGCTGTCCACCAACGTTTACCATCCAACCTGACAGAACTGGAGAGGATCTGCAAGGAGGAATGGCAGAGGATACCCAAATCCAGATGTGAAAAACTTGCATCTTTCCCAAAACGACTCATGGCTGTATTAGATCAAAAGGGTGCTTCTACTAAATACTGAGCAAAGGGTCTGAATACTTATGACCATGTGATATTTCAGTTTTTCTTTTTTAATAAATTTGCAAAAATTTCTACATTTCTGTTTTTTTCTGTCAAGATGGGGTGCTGAGTGTACATTACTGAGAAATAAAATGAACTTTTTTGATTTTTGGAAAATGGCTGCAATGAGACGAAGAGTGAAAAATTTAAAGGGGTCTGAATACTTTCTGTACCCACTGTATGTGCATTTGACCATTACAATTTAAAATAACACTCTAGCAGCTGGATAGAGGCTCAGTGAACTCTTAAGGGGGAGTAATGATTTATGGGTGTGTAAAGAGTGAACCCTCCTATGGAATTTGACCTCTGACCCAGTGTTAGGGGGATTAGTGATTAGTGTTTATGAAGGGACTGAACCCTTCTATGGTGTCTAACAGATGTTTACACTTATCCTACAGCACTGTGCCCTTATATGGTATTTAGCAGATACCTAAACATGTCCTACATAAGCTGTGTTTGATGTACAGAGAGACAGAGTGGCCATCGGGCTGGGTCACTCTCCAAGCTGCTGCAGAGCTTGTAATTCATGCTGAACTCCTTGATGTAATAAACTTTTATGATCAAGAACAGTGTCAAGCGGATTTCTTCTCAACACATCATTGCAGCATTATTGTTCGGACACCACAGAGCTTCAATGCTTCCTTTCATATTTCCTTTAGCATAGGGTACACTGGACCATCCTTTATGAAAGGAAAGGAGAGAATGCCGTCCCACAATTCCTTGCGGCACCAACATTTAAAGCGATACACATTCTCAAACTCAAACTAAGAAATCCATCGACCACATTTAACAAAATCTTGCTATACAGACGCACATTATGATACCTGAATAAGCCTCCCACCCCGCGACCCTGTACGCAAGATAAACGGTTGACGATGGATGAATGGAATAAGCCTCACAATTTCCTTCTTTCTTTTTTTTTCTTTGTTTGTTTGTTTTCTTTTGGCTTTGCTGTAATCTGATGCTGTTTCAGCACCGTTTTATGTTTCTGATTGTTGAAATATGCTATAATGTGTTTTCTACAATAATAAAAAAAACTGAAATCTCCGACCCTGACAGATAATGGATGTTGATCACCATGTAAGTTACCATTGAGTATTAAACCTTTTCTCTCATATGCAATAACTCCCTAATATGCATGTCAAGAACTGTCAACAATAACTGAGACCCATGTGAGCTGTGTTTCTGGTCTTGTAAAATGATCAAAGTGAGTATAATGTCGGTTCACGTTATGCATTTCCAGCCTTCAGCAATGCCATTAATTGATTTTACTTCAGTCACAGATGTCAACACCCTTCCCTTAATAAAGGCAAAGATCAAGCTGGATGACCTCTACAGTAAATGTAATGTATTATTTCAGTGTTTCACACACACTGATTTATTTGTGGTGGCCTGCCACATTACCAACGCTGACAGCATTTTCTTCTAAAATGAGCAGCGCATATATTCGCTCAGCACCTCCTCTAGCTCAGTTGCTCCCTCTCCCTCTCTCTCTCTCCACAGTTGCGCTGTCATTCTGTGGGAAACACTGTGTTTACAAACAATAACTGGGATTCATGTTGATGAATGTGCGTGGGCATGAGGGTGAGTGTGAGCAAGCATTCTCAATGTGACAACCCTTTCCATTATTTGGTGACGGGAACCCTAAAGGCCTTTTTACTGTCTTGATTATGAAGCAGTGGCTGACGTACTGCGGTAAGCGTGTCGACTCATTTCCGTTTCCAGTGCATGTTTGTTGGTAGTGTGTTTTGCTGCTCTCGCTAAATACCAGTTAAATTTGTTAGATGTGTCTTTTTTTAAAATTATTTATTTAAAACAGTGCATATTAATGGACATCTTAGCTTATGTAAATATGTCAGAATTAGCCCAAAGGCTATTTTACATCTGTAGTCCCCTGTCAGGTCATCACAGTACAAGGCAACACAGCTAAACATTGAAATTAGATACGATACAACACAATTTAAGAGACACCACAATTTTCAACAACATATTATAAAAAAGACACCATAGTTTATGTAATTTAAGGTGCCGTTTATGCAGTAAAGTGCCATTCTATGAAATAATGTTCAATTAAATTTAGTTTGAGAGCTGTTCAGTGCTGGAGGGTACTGCATCTAGTACGGCAGACACACACATATACACATATGCATTAAAGTGCTATTCTATTTATTTGAAGTACATTTTAATTATGTTAAAGTGCTTTTTAATGCAGTAAAGTGTTGGATCTGGTATGGTAAACATACACATACATAAACAAAACAACAGTAAACAAACCTATACACATAAAATCAAAAACAAAATAAAACAAAGTCCGTTAGTGGTCACAAATTTGATGTGTCTTGAGCCATTGTTTGAGTTGGTTCTTAAAGCTGGGGTAAGTCGGACATTCCCTCACGGCAGCCAGTAACCTGTTCCAGATGTCTGACTCCTTAATTGACAATACATATTGTCCAAATGTAAGGCACCATACAGTCACCTCTCATGGAGGCCCTGGTTACAGTTCTGCCACCTCCCGTTATTTTCAATTTAATATACTCACTTAGTGGGGGTGGGGCAAGTCCATGTAGGATCTTATATATAACACAGGCATATTTGAACTTCAGAAAAGTTTCAAAGCTTAGCAGGTTATATTTCTGCAGGATTAAGCAGTGATGATATGAAAGCTGTTATCTTTTAAAGATTTTTAAGGCTCATTTGAAGAGTGACTATGGGTTTGAGTGTTGTGTAAGTGACCAGTTTGTAAAAGAGTATTCAATATATGAAAGGATAATGGAATGAAGAAACATTCTGGCTGCATTGCATGAGAGTGATGGTCTAATATAGTTGGAAAGATTAAATTTAACAGTTTTTGAAAGCCTTTTGACATGATTTTTAAAAGACAGTGTGGGATCTAGTACAATGCCAAGGTATTTTAATTTGTTTACAATCTGTAGTTCTTCTTTCAAGAATATATTTGAGTATGTCCTTTCAATTGGCTGCTTAGAAAACATCATACAAATTTTTTTTAGGATTCAATAGTAGACATGATTTTGTGAGCCATTCCTGTACACGGGTCAGTGCAGATGTAAGAGATTGTGAGGCTTGATCAGTTTTGGCATGTGTAAAGATTACTGCGTCGTCTGCATACATTAAAATATTGATGTTTTGGCATACTGTAGGGCAGGTCATTGATATATAAGTAGAACAGAATTGGTGGAAATATGGAGCCTTGAGTACTCCTACTGGACATTCGAGGTGAGGAGATTTACACAATGCGTTCTGTTGGTTAAGTACGAGTTCATCCAGCTGATGGCTTGTTTGGAGAAATTGAAGTTTGTTAATCTGGACAGGATTATTTGATGATTGACAGTATCAAAAGCCCTTTTCAGATCCAGAAAAACAGCACCAACAACAGAATGAGTGTTTAACTTATTAACTTATTCTTACAGTAATTCTGCCTAAGCACTCACAGTTCTTTCCATCTTTTAATGGCTGCTGTTTAATCTCATAGTTGTTTTCAAAAGATTTGGTAGCTAACACTACCGTACTTTAGGTTAGCCCTTAGCCATCGCTAGTTGACTTTAGCATAGCAGCTAGCGATGGCTTCTCCCTCTCCTGCTCGGTGTGTCAGATGTTGAGTTAGTCCTCTGCCTCCTTTAGCGGTAATGGTACGTGTAACAAGTGTAGTTTATTTGTAGACATGGAGGCGAGGCTCAGTGATTTAGAAGTCCGGCTCCGCACCTTGGTAGATCAGTCATCAGCTACTGCAGTTAGCCAGTCCCTGGTAGTCGGTGCGGAACGGCCTGAGTTAGCCTGTGGTAGCCGTCCCCTAGCATCTCCTGAGCAGCCAGGAAAGGGTGGCTGGGTGACTGTCCGAAGGAGGAACAGTCGTAAGCATTGAAAGCCCACTCACTGTTTTAACCACACCCTCGACCTTGTTCTGGTATATGGTATTGAAACTGAACATTTAATAGTGTGAATTAGAGTTCATCATGAAAATTACTAATAACCTCCTAATTGCATCAGACAAAGGACTTGTCTCTGTACTGGTTTTATTAGATCTTAGTGCTGCATTTGATACCACTGACCATCAGATCCTATTACAGAGACTGGAACATTTCATTGGCATTAAAAGTAACCGCTCTAAGCTGGTTTAGGTCCTATTTATCAGATCGATTTCAGTTTGCACATGTCAACGACAAGTCCTCCATGCGCGCCAAAGTTAGTCATGGAGTTCCACAAGGATCTGTGCTCGGACCAATCCTCTTCACTTTATATATGCTTCCTTTTGGCAATATTATCAGGGAACACTCCATAAACTTTCATTTTTATGTAGATGATATTATATATCGATCAAACCAGATGAAACTCATCAGTTAGCTAAACTCCAAATGTGCCTTCAGGATGTTAAAACTAGGGACAAGTGTAGTGAATCAGCTTTAGCTAAAAACACTATGATACACACATCAGATGACTGTCAAAGTTTATCTATGTTTTTGTATCTGTCCCTATTTAAATAAACTTGAGAAACAAAACCTAGATGACGTATAATTTTCTAATGTTAAACTCAGATAAAACTGAAGTTATTGTTCTGGGGCCCAAGCACCTCTGTGACGCATTATCTATCATTATGGAGCAGAATCTCCACATTTAAAAGTAGGCTTAAGACTTTCCTCTTTGATAAAGCTTATAGTTAGGGCTAGCTCAGGTGAGTCCTCAACCATCCCTTAGTTATGCTGCTATAGGCTTAGACTAACGGGGGATTTCCCATGATGCACTGAGCTCCTCTCTCCTCGTCTTCTCTCCCTCTGTATGCAACCTCATTCCATTAATGCATGTTACTAACTTGACTTCTTCCCTTTCCCGTAGTCTTGTACTTTCTCGTCCCTCTCCTCTCTCCTCCTATGACTTTACTTTCTACAGGTGTTTCTGGCTCTGGAGATGTGGAGTCTGGATCTGTGGTTGCGAGTCACCTGCTGCCCCCGTGTTCCTGCTCGACACCCTCTGCTACAATTATTGTTTCTAGTCCTCTATTGTTATTATAATCATTAACACTACTATAAATATCTTTACCATTTTTCATTCAGTCTACTGCAACATCACCTTTACTGTCTGTACATCTGTGTGTATATTGTGTAGGCTGCCTCCCTCCACTCTCTCTCCTTCCATCCCTATCTCTCTCTCTCTCTCTGTTCCTCTCTCCCTCCCTCTCTCCTTCACCTCCAACCGGTCGAGGCAGATGGCCGCCCACCCTGAGCCATGGTTCTGCTCAAGGTTTCTGCCTCTTAAAAGGAAGTTTTTCCTTGCCTCTGTCGCCTAGTGCTTGCTCTTGTTGGGAATTGTTGGGCTTCTGTAAATAACATCACAGAGTATGGTCTAGACCTGCTCTTTTATGAAAAACACTGTGAGATAACTGTTGTTGTGATTTGGTGTTATATAAATAAAATTGAACTGAATCATGATACAACTGACAGAATAACTAACGTTATAGTCAACAGTTAGGGTTGCAGACATCCACTCTTTGACATTGTTGCTGCTTCCATAACAGCTGTCTTTAAATAGTTTTGGTTTGTAATTGTTTTTGTTGATCATTCCAGGGTAATATTTATTTTTATAAATGAAAATAAAAGGAAATCTTCCTTTTGACAGTAACCTGACAATGTGCCAAGAATAAAGGTAGGCTAATTTTTATTATTGAAATATTTAGGGAGTTTTCTCTCAAAAAAAATATTGGAATCGGAACCGAGATTCAGTAAAAAAAAAACAGATTTGATAAGCAGAAACAGAATCAGAATCAATAAAATTGAAACGATACCCAACTCTACACTTGACAGCAAGTTTGTATTTTTCCTTCTGCCCTCCTTTCATTTTAGAGGCAAAGCCCCTCTGAGGTGTAGGTGAAAGTCACTGGATAACTGTAAGCTACAGGTGCTCTCAACTTGGATATGCTGACTTGCCACTTTTTACAGGCAAGAGCAGAGCAAGGGTATTATACTACAATAATAATTTATACACTGGACACATTTTTGTTTTAGATAAGTGTTTATTTTAATTTCATATTTATTTTGCAGTGGTGGTAAACTGTGTGGGTTCACCATTGCTAAATGAATACTGAGGAAATACTACTACCAGAAACTTTCACCTAAAAAAATTAAATGTGAACCTATGTGTTACACATGGACCCTTGTGTTCTTATGTCATCAGGTATGATTAACTGGAACACATTTTCAGAGGAGCATGGCAGGACCTACAGAACTCCATATCTATGCTCCTGTTGTATTCAGTGCAATTCTCTTTACAAATAAAGTGAGGCTACAGGAGATGAGGACAGAGAAAAACTGCCAAGATTCTAGTCTGAAGATGATCTTGCAACATGCTGCAGCATGAGCGAAAATAGCGAGGGACAAAGAAGAAAGTGTCCAAAGTATGGGATTATTTCAAGCTAAAAGAAAACAACAACTCTAATGTAATGACAATGTCACAGTCCGTCCACCATAAAACAAAACTTATGTCGCCTACCAACAGCACGACTGCACCTGATCAGAAAGCACCCGGTGTTCTGTCAGCGGACCACCACTTCTTAAACGACGCATCGATGAATCGTTGAAACCATAGTTAGCTGCAGCCCTACCTGACTATAATCGTAACAATAAAATCTGTAATCGTTGCATTCCTATTTCCAAATATGTCCTGTGTTAGCCAGTCCCTGGTGTTCATAAAGAAAAGTACACAGTAATGCGCAAAGTAACATACAGAGTCACCAATATAAAGAGTAACATACAGAGGAAGTGGTAACATACAGAGCCAGGGAATACAAAGTAGCATACAGATTCATGAAGTAACGAGTAATGTAGGGAGTAATGGCTGGCTGCACGTTGGCAAATGTACACAGGATCTCCCATGGTTAGGGCAGAAATAACCAACTAAGTATGTAACATGTGAAAAATCAGAATCCCTACTACTTTTATAATTTTTTTGTGTGTGTTTTAGTGTACATTGTGTGTACTTACCCTGGTCCCAGGTCATGTCCTCCAGATAGACTGTAGAATCCACTGGCCAGTCCTGTTTCAGTTCCCGCACTGGATAAGCATTGATGCATTATTATTATATTAGACAATCAGTGTATTTACATGCACTTAAGTAACCAGTTTACTATAAATCCATGTATACATGCAGCAGGTCGGTACCATATAACTCCCCAACCCCTAACCTTATGATTTAAAGATGTAATTATCTCTCCTTTCATCCTTCCGCTCAGCTGACATTCCCCGTCTGCAGTCTTGTGTTAAGTACATACGTGCTTGGAACTCCCACCTACGAAGGTGTATATCAAAAACCTTACATACGCGTTCAGGGGATCGAGCTGAATTTCCTGGTATAGGCCACGCCCATTTCCGCCTAAACTTTTCTTTCGCAAATTTGCGAAAACTGAAAAACCTATTTTGAATAACTCCTCCGAAGCCACAAGTCCGATCAACACCAAACTTGGCACGGATAATCTCTGGTCCATGATGAAAGTTTGTAGAGGATATTTTGATCCGACAAAAAAATGTTGCAATAATAGGCTAACAAACAGCAAATTATGTCATATCTTCGCTTTGCAATGGCCGATCGACACCAAATTTGGAATATTAATGTGGGACGCCTCCCTGGGGGACTGTGCAAAATTTAGTGCACCTCACCCCTAGGTGGCGCAATTTAATTCGAAAATATTGTTCCTCTATAACCACAAATTGAAATTTGGCGTCAATCAGCCTCTAGGTGGCGCTATTAACTGGAAATCAAATAAAACTCCCATAGACGTACATTCATTTCACATCTCTGGTCATTTATTCTCCACAGGCCCCCTGAGCCACGGCAGGGCCCATGCACAATAACTCATGGCGGGCCCGGGCCGACTCTGCGGGGCCAGGGGGGGGGGCGGCTTGCGCCGGGAGGCTTGGACCCCGCTTGTAACTGCTTGCAGTTCTAGTTATTAGGGCCCGAGCACGAGCCGTGCGAGGTCCCTATTGAAACTGTAAGGATTATATATATTTTTTTTCCTCTCTGAAAAGTAAGCTCAATTTTGGGGGCCTAAACATACTCGAAAACTCACCATATTTTGCACACATGTCAGAAGTGGTGAAAAATTTCGTATTTTATGGGTTTCACGCAAGGGCGTGGCAAAATGACTCGCTAGTGACACCTAGAAAATTGGACTAGACTTTTTTTCCCCGCTACATCGCGAAAACTGAAAAACCTATTCTAATTAACTCCTCCCACAAGTCCGATCGGCACAAAACTTAGCACAGATAATCTCTGGACCAAGCTGATGATAGTTTGTAGAGGAAATTTTGACACAACAAAAATTGTTACAATTATATGCTAACAAATGTTTGCCAAAAACGCTATAAACAGGAAGTGAGGTCATATCTAAGATAGTTCTAGTTAAAACTGAGTTCTTTACAGTATGTGAGTACAATACTTATTCTTATTTCTTGTAAAGGCTGCAAAGCAGTCAAAAGTTTTTAATTGATTTTAATTAATTCTTTATTAATGTATAATGTCTGCTATATAGCAGAAGGGAGTTACAAACTCAAATTCACTCTATAACTTGTTATATTGTGACAATAAACCTACCTACTGTCCTTTTGCATTGTTATTTATGTTCATATATTTGTTAAATGTCTGTTGGTAATAGGTGTGAAAATAATTTAATTATAAAAAAGGTGATGAAAATGGCTGTGAACGGGAAAAAAAGGGGTTAAATGGATGTGAAATGAAAGATGGAGTGATAAATATTCAAGTGATTTGAATTTTAAATTTATTTGATTAAAACAGTAGTGATAGAATGAAAACATAACCATTTTTATTTATCAATCATTCATGACCCAAAATTGGCATTCATCAATTAAAGCAGGGAGCCTCAAGGGTTGAAGTAACAAAAAGTAAATAATAAAAAGGAGGTGAGGAAAATGCATGTGAATTGAAATAGAGTGGTTAAATTTAAGGTGAATTGAAATCAAAGTAATAAATTATCAAGTAATGTGATAAACTTTATTTACCAATCATCATTCACAACACCCTGCTGTCATTCACTGTTTACTGCATGTAATTTTTTTACTTCCTGCTGAAACAAACCACATCCCCTGACAAACTGATCAAGTGGCTCTCAACTTGTCATCTCGGAGTACGTCGCTAGAGCGAGCCCAGCTGAATGGAGAAATATTATGCCGTGCTCTGCTGTTAATTGCACAGACTAGCCAAGAAGCCACTGCTCCAGTTGTTTTGGTGAGTGAAATTGTAGTATTTCATTTATGTGTTAGCAATTATTAGCAGGTATCGTCATCGGCATAAATAGCATGTTAGCTTACTTCATTAAGCCAATTAGCACAGCTTGGGATCGCTCAAAGCTGAACGGGAGGGTATGCTGACCGGTTTTTAAAGAGTCATGCACAGAAGTCAAAACCTGTTAGAGAAGTTAATTTTGGGGTGACAATACTTTGGAGCAAAAGGCTCAAAAGAGGTCACGTGTGAAGTTGGAAAGTGATGGTCTACCTTGTTGTTTTATTGACTTTATGCAGAGTCAACATTAAACTTGCCACATGGACAATGTAACGTTTACATTGGATTAGCTACTGTAACGAGTGACTGTGTTCAGGGAGAGGAAAAACATGCCAATACCATTACACAGTACATGGCTGCAGCTGGACTGAGGGATGGAGGTGTTTATGGGGGAGCTGCACTCGGTGCACTAGTTGCACAACACCAGTGGTGGACTGTTGTGCAGATGGCTGCCTGTCTGCCGAGCATCGCCTGCACCTCCAAGTACAATTTAAAAACGATAGAATATTCTTGGTGGGGTTCATCAGTGGTGATAAATGATTAGAAGTATATATTTTAGGAACGTGTAAATCCGTCAGTATGTTATTACACCTATACAAGTTGGAATAACGGCATTTGATCAGTGTGCAAGCAAAGTGTCTGAAAAGTACCTTAAGAGCTGGATTCATAATTCGGCAGAACAGATTTTGTAGCCTACCTGCCTAGATTTGCATCCACCTTTTTCTCAGCATATAGTGTGTTATCTCCCCTGAGGTAAATGTAAATGCTCCGTGAAAATTTTTGTATTTTATGGGTTTCGCGCATGGGAGTGGCAAAATGACTCGCTAGCGCCACCTAGAAAATTAGAAAAAATTAGCCCCCGTCCACGTTCAACCTACATGCACGAAATTTTCTAGGGACATTTATCATATCAAGACGCACAAAAAAGCCTCAAGAACCCATTTTATGGTCATTTTTGGATGATTTACACACTCTTAAATGAACTCCTCCTAGGTATTTTGTCGGATCAATTTCAAACTTCTGCTGTGCCTTCTAAAGGCATTGATGATGAAATGTTGTGCTATCTGTGAGTTTTCGTCGATGGGTGTGTCCGTGGTGTGGCGTCAAAGATCAACTCTTCGCCGTGATACAGGAAGTTGTTGTAACTTCGGTGTTCATGCTCACATCCGAACAACACTTTACGTGTTTGATAACTGTCCCGCCCCGAACACATATAAGGCCTATATTCATTTCTAGTCATAGCGCCAAGTGCTATGTAGCGCCAAAAAGGGGACACAGGAAGTGACGTATAACGCCTTCATGCAGCGTCCGAATCGCATAGCAAATTCACAGCCGCAGCGGCGGAGCTCCAGAATATGCATGTGAGAGGGCCCGCCCAACGCCGCTTGCAGCTTAAATTTTTTTTTTCCCATTCTTTTTTCTGCAAAGTAAGCTCAATTAATCCACCAAACTGCCCAATGCTGCTTGCAGCTTCAATGTCCATCCATCGTCAACCGCTTATCCTGCGTACAGGGTCGCGGCCAGTCCCAGCTGACATCGGGCGCAAGGCAGGGTACAGGTCGCGAGTCCATCGCAGGACCACACATAGACGAACAACCACTCACGCTCACAAGATTGTTGACAATTTAGGGTCAACAATCAACCTAGTCTTTGGACGGTGGGAGGAAGCCCGAGCACCCGGAGAGAACCCACGCAGACACGGGGAGAACATGCAAACTCCACACAGAAAGGCCGGGGCAACCGGGGTTTGAACCCACAACCTTCTTGCTGTGAGGCGACAGTGCTAGTCTATAGCAAAATCACTTTTACTGTCTGTACCTCTGTGTGTATATTGTGTAGGCTGCCTCCCTTCCCTCTTTCTCTCTCTTGCTCTCTCGGTCCTTCACCCCCAGCCGGTCGAGGCAGATGGCCGTGAGCCATGCTTCTGCTCGAGGTTTCTGCCTCTTAAAGGAAGTTTTTCCTACCTCTGTGGCCTAGTGCTTACTTGGTGGGAATTGTTGGTGCTTCTGTAAATAACATCACAGAGTACGGTCTAGACCTGCTCTTTTATGAAAAGCGCTTGAAATAACTGCTGTTGTGATTTGGCGCTATATAAATAAAAGTGAAATTGAAAATAAATTCTGCTCTGACAAGTACGCCGTTTACTTGTGGGAGGAGCTCGGAGTAAACTGCTTTTAATAAATTAGCTTTTTACTTTAGTTTTTGGGATTTCAACGTTGATTTACCTTCACTGGAGCTTCTCAGCAGCTAGGTTCTGTGCACATCCGGTTCCAGTGTTGTTGATAGCGTCGTTAGCTCTGTCGGACTACGACTTCATTTTTATATAAAAACCAGACATTGCTGGAGGAGGTTGAACTGTGTCTGTAACTTTATTCCAGCTGTCACTGTGACCAAGTTAGCATAGCCCTGATCGATCCAAACTCCATTCAGAAAACAAACATTTTAGAAGTTGTTGTCCTGCTGTCTTGCTGACAGACCAGACATAGCATGAATTCATATGTTTAACAAATCTGCATCATGTTGTAGTTATTTCGGCATCAGTGTAATCCCTTTATTGCTATTTAATCACAGCAAAATTTTTACTTTGGGTTCAAATATTTGTAGTAAAGGCTAGTTGTGTTTATTCACATTATCGCCTTAAAATCGCCTTCTCGCACTGTGTGTTAACACTTTCAGCGAATGCACTCACGCGAGGAAAGCATCGCAAAGCGAAAATTCGCGGTTGGTCTGCATTAGATTGAAGCACTTGTTTGTC